CCAGAAAGCGACAGAGAGAGAGAGAGAGAGAGAGAAAGCAAGCCACCAGGTCCAGGATTTGAACCGTGATTGACCATGTGGGAGTCCAGCACCCTTAACCACCACGCCATCTGCCGGCCCTGGGTTAGGGTCTTTTAATCCATGAAAGATAGCATGTTGGGGAGCCTCACAGCCTGAGGGATGGGGAGAGGCATCTTATCCTCCTTTATTTTACAGACATGGAATCTGAGGCATCAGAGAGCCTGCCCACATTCCAGGCAGAGAAGGACCAGGACTCCCATCTCCTCTGGCCCAGGCTAGTCTGGTTTCTGTAATGCCCAACTTCATAATCAGAAGTTATTTACAACAAATCCCTCATTACCAAACAGGGAAACTGAGCCAGGCCTGAAGATACTTTCTTAAGGTTATGGAACTGACAGGTATTAGAGAGCTGGAAGGCAGTCCCTGGGCTCGGTCCGATGTTCTCTTCACCCTCCTCCCTCATCCCCTGCCTCCCTTCTGTGCTCAGCAGTCAGAGGTGTTTTGTAAATGTACATTCATGGAGAGCTAAGAATGTCCAGAATGCCCTGAGTTAGGGGAACAGAGATGAGCACAATGGGCCCTCATCTGGGGATCTTCCCCAGAAATGGGTTCTGGGGCAAGGCCTTGAAGGAGCTGTTTGGTGGCAGGAGGAGGGAGGGTGGGGGAAGCATCCAGACCAGTCCTAGAGGCTGGGACATTGGTGGGGACCGCACTGAAGGGCAGCCAGCTGGCAGATCTGGGCATGCAGTGGCTGGTCCCAGGGGCACCAAGGACCACATGGGGCTGAGGAGTCCACACTGAGAGTCCTGAGTGGCAGATGGGAAGGGGTTGACTGGACCAAGGGAAACTGCTGTAGGAGTTCTGATTCCCAATGTCTGAGAACAGACCTGGGCAAGGTGGTCTTGACAGACCTCTGCTGCAGCCTAAGAATCCTTCCTCTTCACTGGAGAAACACCAACAGCAGTGTATCTACAGAGGATGCGCGAGCACCAAGTGACAGATTCCAGTGTAGTCCGAGATGTGTATGGGGAGCCAAGGGTGTGCAGGGTTGGAGCCTCCCTCACTCTCAGGTGACTTTTTGCTTTGTTTTGTTTCTGATAGACAGCACCTTCAGCTGGGCTTTCCCCACTTTGAATCTTGGGTCTCTCTGAGCTCCTTCATTCAGTGAAGGCTTGACACAGGGCCAGGAGGGTCCGGGCTCCCCCTTTGGTGTTCCCTCCACCCCTTCATGCAAATTCTTGGGCCTACAGGCTGGGAGACCAGGACTGACTGCCAGCCCCTTCTCCATTGGCAGGGTGAAACATGCAATTTGCCTAAATTACAGAGAATGTGATGTTTGCCAAATAGGTACCTTGGATTACTGTCTTAAGCATTACTAGATTATACACTTCCCAAGGGCAGGGAAAGTGTGACGTGTTATATCATTATTGTTTATCCTTTGTATTTGCATCGTACTTCACAGTTTATAAAGATCATTTTGTCTTTGTGATCAGACGGATTGATTTACTCCCGTTTTACAGATGAGAAACTTGACTTAGATGGGTTGTAACCTGCCCGAGGTAATGTAACTGCCAAAGGGCTGAACTGGGACACAGCCCAGGCTTCTGGTGTATACATGCCATAACCTCCTCCTCTACCAAACCCCCACCATATGTCAAATCTTCGGAGGGTCTGGAACAGAAGAGGAATTTAATAAATATTTGTTGAATGAGTGGACTTGGACTTTTTTTTTTTTCCATTTCTGGCCACTCTTAACCATAAATAGATGCTCTTTGGCAGCAAAAAAGAACACTACCCTGTGAAGTATTTGAGTTTCTTCTTGGTGTGATAAGAAACTGGTGAGTGCTCTTCTAGCCCAGCCCACCTCCGGGAACTGGGTCATGCACACTGAATAATTAAATCTTTGAATCTTTTACTGAGAGCTTCCTCCTTCTGATGCTGAGATGATCTGTCAAACATTGACCTTTGAAAGGTCCCTGGCAGAAGCAGATCCTATTATTCATTGTCACGAACCTTCAGGTGACCCCTCTAATTGCCCACAGATATTACTCTTGGGCTATGCAAGTGAGACTTCCAGTGGGTTAAGCTGATCTTCTCTTCCTGCCACCCTTCTCATTCTTCTCTGGACTGAAGATGAGGGATGATTGTGGGTTGTCTTAGATGTATAGAGTTCTCCCGGGACAAGAAGGCCTACTTCTCCTTTTTTACTGACCCCTGAACTCCCCAAGATGTTGTGGCGAGGGCTGGAGAAGGAACAAGCAGAGCATGTGAAGTAGGGAAGGGATGCATGGGAGCAGGGAGGCAGGTATCACAGTATCTTGGGTCATGTTTCCTGCAGTCTGTGAGGGACCCAGACGGCCTCATTAGACTCTCAAGCTCAGCAGAGTAAAGTGAAAAAGAGCGGGCCACGGCCAGAAGACCACTTTCTAGTGGTCCGGCACATGAGGACGACTTTCACAGCTTAGCTCTGCGACCTTGGGCAAGGCACAGCCCTTGAGCTGCCCTCAGATTTCTTGCCTTGCCTTTTTCTCTCCTCTTCTCTCTTACCTTCTCCTCCCCTCTATCTCCCCATTTCTTTTCTATTGTAAGAAAGCATGTGAACTCACCAGAGGGAGACAGAGAGAGGAAGGAAGAGTGAGAAAGTACTCCCCAATGGGGCATGGTCACGTGACAATTCCTTCTCTTCCATTTCTCCATCCTGCCAGGAATTGGGACACACAAACACACACACACATGCACACACACACACGAACACACACACACACACACACACACATGTGGTATGATATCCATGCTGCTGGGGCCAGGATTCAAACCACAGTCAGCTATGTGGGATCCAGCTCCCTTAACCACTAGGCCATGGGGTCAGCCCTGGATTTCTTCTTAAAGAAGTAAAGGTGATGCAGAGGGTTAGGTGACATCTTAAAGAAGTCTCGTGGACTTCTGTGGTCCTCGGTGTCCACTCACAGTTTGTCCTCATGTTTAGCACTGTCTTCTCCTACAGGCCACTTCCTCTGCATGGCCAGAGCTGGCTTATGAAAGCACTTTCCTCCTGACCTTTGTCACTTTGTCACATCTCTTCTGCCCTACCCTGAGATATGCCAGCATGCATATAAGGACCTCCTGCTGCTGCCCCAGTCTCCTGCCAAGCAGCATGATGAAGATCTAGAGTACCGGGTCCCTAAGGAGCAGAGGTTGCTTCATGTAGAGGGTGTGGGATTAGGGGTTGCTGGGGTATCTGAGCTCTTGATACCCCAAGGCACCTGGACTCTATTGAGTGAGTTAGGTAGAGAGTAATAAACATGTTTTAAAATATGCCTCCCATGGCCAGCTCCATGGTGCAGCAGTAATGTGCTGTTCAAGAGAAGCTGGGTCCCACAAGGTGACTGTGGTTCAAATCCCCAGCTTGGTCTGCCTGAAAGATGCCAGGTTCACATGTGAGTGTCAAAGATCCAGTGGGCTGGAGGACTGGAGGAAAAGGATCATGACATGACGAGACCCTATGGAGCGTGCCCATCTCTCCTTCCTCTTTATCTCACTCCTCTGCATGCATGCATGTGTTCTTTCATGAAAAAAGGAAAAAATTTAAAAAAATAATATGGTCCCCAGTTTGGCCAGGTTTTGTGGGCAGGAGTGACTAGACATTGTGGAGCAGTAAAGG